GATTTAATAAGTCAATGCAATCAACTGGTTTTCCTTAGATAGAAAGCTGAATCAATTTGACCGTATAATCTGGTGAACTGTAAAGTACCTTGATATGACATGTGTTGTGAATTTGCATTATATAAATAAACTGAATTGAATTGAAATAATCCCCTCTTCATTTGGAAAAAAGATCAGAAGAGTTTACATCTATTGAATAATTACATCTGCTGATTAGACAAGTGCACATGTACACACAAAGACAGAAAAATCTATTTGATGTAACTTTTTTTTTTCACCATAACCTTTACACTTGCTTGATAAGGATGAACAATTCATTTTTATTAAACAGTCAAAGCCAAACCAGGAAGGGCTCTGTGCGAATGACTGTTTTTGTGTTGGTGTGGATCGCCATCTAACGGCCATCACTGGTATAGCAAAAATATTTTATGATGCATAAAAACTGGAAAAACAAAACAAAAAAACCCATAAAGGATAGCTATAACATTTTAACACATGCAAGGGTCTAAAATATTATAATTCATGACTAGAAAAAGATTATCAAAAGGCGCTACTGTAACCTGGTGACTCACTGCTTTATTTTCAAGCTTAATAACTCTGTAATTGACCATCTAAAAGTTCTGAAAAACCTACACAATTATAATATAGCCACTTATAACATGGCTTGTCCGTGTTTGATAAAACAAATGTTAACATGAGAAATTTCCTGGTTAGAAATTATAATAAAAATGTTAGATTTGATTAACGTGTTTTATATAAATATCCTAAGTTTACTGATTAAGGACAGAGTGGAGCATGTAATATATAGGTGAACAAAGAATAAGGCCAAAATGAAGCCACTGTGGTAAAATGTTTAAACCATCGATCGTTTTGGGAATGTAACATTCACATGTTTTCAGAAATGTTACACGATTAGAAGTTTTTTTCAATTTCTTCAGTATAGACAGGATCAAGGATGATCATCTACATTCACAAACTGGTATGAATGATTCAGACTTTACAAAGACGTGAAATTGTTTTTTATTTTTTTAAAGTAGCAACAACTTTAGGAAAAGTGTAGAGATGTACAATTTCCGGGAGAGGACGTGAAGGCAGCAGTGGAGGGAGGCGTTGACTCGACTAGCCGCTGTGCAGCTCTTACTGCGCCGCGTGAACGTCAATTCTGTTCACTGTGATTGAGTCAAAAGGCACAAAAATGTCAGGAAAGAGTTTTCGAGTCAGCGACGGGGACTGGATTTGTCCCGATAAAAAGTAAGACTGGCGTTAAAAAAAAACAAATGAACAACATAGAGGCTCTAATTTACCAGGAATTGTTCATTTCTGTCTCAGCGTGACTTGAGTTAGCCTGAGGCCTACTAGCATGTAGCTTATGCTAACAAATAAAACAATCGTTATTTTGTTTATTCAATCATCATGTAAACTTGACATATGATAGACTTATAGATTAGTTGGGCGTTTGAATAAGGGGGAACGATTTGTTGTACAATAAAAGTGCCCATCTCGAGCTATCAAATTAGCATATTAGCTGTTGTTAGCTTGCGTGGCTATAAGCTTATTCACGCACTGTTGTGGGGGTTGCTCACATTGTTGATAGTTTGGATGCGTGTTCAGAGTGTCATGTTTCCAGCGAACTCGGTTTAAATGTGATCGACGGGTGCAGATGTCAGAGCCAAGCCCTCTGGTGGTGTTTCTAAACTAAGGCTGCTAGCTTAATCTGCACGATCCTGTGCATTGAGTGGCGAATTTACTATATAAATATATTTTTTCCAGGTGTGGGAATGTAAACTTCGCGAGAAGAACAAGCTGCAACAGATGTGGAAGAGGTAACGCTTCGATCAGCTATAATAATGATGATGTTGCTATTTAATGAAGTTGGTGTTTTTGTGTCAACAGAAAAAACCACAGAGGCCAAGATGATGAAANGTCTGCTGCAGGCTTTTTTGTCCATCATTTACTGCTATTTGGTTGTAGAAATAGAATTGTGTGCTTCACTGTCTAAATACTCTGGGGTAAACATGTCTGCGTTGGCAAATTTTAGCCTTTTATAAGAGGTTTTTTTTTTCCCATGTCTATTATGCTTTCCTGATGCAGAATTCTGACAGGTTGTTGTAGATCGCTCCTTCAGGGGAAGACATTTTAATTTCAGTACAAAAAGGGATCACTAACATGCCTGGATTGATTGAAAGGTGGCACATCAATTAAAACAGGAATCCTAAACATACTGCCTTTGCCAGTTTTTTTTACAAAGTCAGGGTTCCCCTTTTCCAAGGGACTGACTTTGTGTCGGGCTGCTGCCTAAAATGAAAAATACCTGGAAGTTTGTGGTTGTAACAAAGCATGAAGAGTATAGTTGGGATAAATGCAGTTTTAAAGTACTATATGTGCTCTTGAAGCAGAGAAGTCTGATAAATAGTCCCACTTGTGAGAGCCTGTTTCAGTTGTACTGACCATAGTGCTTGGTGTATTCCTCCAAAAGATCGAGCTCCAGGTCTGGGAAGGGCTCCTCTCCCCACAAGAGGTCCCGCACGCCATCCTCCTCACCCGAGAGGACACGGAAGCGCAGTCGCTCCAGGTCTTCATCTGGAGGAAGAAAACGAAGACGCTCTAGATCACATTCGTCCGAAAGGTTTGGGTTTCTGTGGAATACCACAGTGGCACTAATTATAATTAGACCTCTAAAGGATCGCTTATCGGAGATCAGATTTACAAATTTCTGCCCATTTTTTGCCATTGTGTGATTTTTTTTTTTTTTTTTATTTGTTTGAAGTATACATAAATTACCAAAGGCTGACTCTGCTGACCTTGTTGTTCTTCCCATGATTGTGTGATTTCAGACGCAGTGGCCATTCATCTGGATCGTCCCACTCTGGCTCCAGTTCTAAAAAGAAATAGCTTTCTTACAACCTCATAAACCAGTAAAGTTTAGTGGAAGTGCATGTCTTGTTGCAAACACAGAACCATACACCTTCAGTATGCTCTTCATTGTCGTAACCTCTTAAGTCTTACTTCTAATCAAGAAAAGCAGGCAAGATGAAATCATCCTGTCATTACCTACAGTGGGGCAATAAAGTATTTAGTCAGCCACCAAT